ATCATAGGTAACTTATTTTAAGAACTTGAAAAATAATACTTATAATAACTACTAGGTCCGTTACGTTTTATTACAATTGAGGTTATTTATTATTGCCCTTGTTCTAATAACAAGCGTTTAGTGTACCTATCATATTATGGTAATCCTTATACTATAATTATTTAATTTGTTTTCTAATAAATGTTCTAATAAATAAAAAAAAAAAGATTATAATAATATGAACAATGTATTGATATGATATAAATAGTTATAAATATACTATGTATAGGTAATAATATAAAATATATTTATATAAAAAACCTTATGGTTTTGTAGTAGTCATAAGTAAGTATACTTAATAAATATATAAAAAAAATAATAATGGATATAGGTAATCAAACTTTACGTGTGCAATGTATTTTGTATTCCAGTACACAAAGTGAACTACCAGATTGTGGTATAAATTACACGATGTTAAATTTTAGTGACCATTTCATGAAAAAGAGACCATTTAGTGAAATATTTTTGAATTTCATGAAGTGTAAAATATCCGTTTCCATTTCATAAAATGGCCATCTTTTCATGAAAAGATCGATTTCACGAAGTGGCTACGACATGTATATTATATCGAAATAGGAGTTTCCTATTTAAACTGTGTAAAATACGGGTACATTTGTTTTACGACATAACTAATTTTCTAATGCATCAATATTAACTCCTAGTAAACTCGAAAACATCAGAAATATTGTGTACAATGTGCTTTTGTAAAAATCATAATAATCGTACGTTTAGAAATTAAGTAATAAATGAAAAAGTGTGATCTTTTTAATGAAAATTTATATTCAATTCAGAATCATAGTAGCCGTCGTCGTCGTCGTAGCAACAGCGTTGCTAATGTTTGTTATCAAGTCATCGGGGGAAATAATATGACAAAATTACAGTACAATAAACAATATTACCGTTCTTATACCTAGATCATCATGTAAATACTCAATATTTACTCAGTATTTATACAAATAATATTGTTGTCCGTACTTTACTTCGTACCTTATACAATATACTATATAAAGAAAAATATATTATATAAAGAAAAAAAGGGTGCTCTGCTGTATAGTAGGTTGCACGTGGGTCACTGTAAATGGATGGTATTAAATTTAAATTCGATGATATAATATCATTGTATAAGATAAACGATTCTGAGCGGAGACGGTATGTCAGTCTAGGTATAAGACATATTATATACATATCTATGATATTAAACAAAAAATTGACCTATAATTAGGTACTTATAATAAATTCCAAATTAATCATATCACAATATCCATTAGGTACTTATAACGCGTTATACATCAACAACAAACCGTGATATTATCATAGATATATAATAGTATATTTTAGAAGTTTAAAGTACCCACGAATAATTTTATACAACCACAACAAAATAACTAGGTTTTTTATTATGTAATTTCGACCAAATTTTAACTTAAATTGACTATAAAAATAAACCATGCTTATATATTTTTTAGATTTTTTGGTAACAGAATTAACTACAACTTACGTGGAATCTTGTTTTAATTTTTCAATCCTTAGATATAAAAGTTGAACATTTTATAAATGTTTAACTTCAAAATTATTATTCAATTTTAAATTTGATACATTTTGTCAAAATTCAATCTTCAAATGGTTATAAAAAAAACTTGTGCTTATGTTTTTTTAATATATTTCAACTGCTATTGTAACAATATATCAAGAGTCATGTATTCAATTTTTACACTTTTGGTGATATTCATATAAAAAAAAAATAAAAAAATGGTAAACTGACAATCTAAGTAAACAGCTCAAAACTAGTTAAAATATTTTGAAAATTTTATCAAGTATAAGAATTGATAATATAAACATTCAGTGAAATTTGCATGTATCTAGAGTCGTTCGTTTTTGAATTTGATCAAAATAAGAAAATCGTTACATGAGAAATCGAGTGAATAACAAATTATGTAAAAATATGAATTTAAAATACTCATAAAAATTTAATTTAATTTTCCGGTAGACATTTTTTTTTTTGTTAAAGGTAGACAAACTCATTGAAAACCTTGTATCATATTTTAAATACTTAAATTTAAATAGAAAAATTTTTATTAATTTCTAACTAAAAATTATTTGCAAGATATCGTGTTTTTTCGTATTTTGTTAATAGTTGAACTTAAAATGTTTAGAAAAAAAAAGTTTGACCGAGGATTTTTAATATTTTTCAAACGTCTTTGTAACAATATAATATTAGCTTTGTATAACATTTTCAAGTTTTTTTACCTAACAAATAAAGTTTTATTGACATTCATTCTGAAAATGTTGATAGTCGAACCATCAATTTTGGCTCAATTTTAGTTTATTAACTATGGTCCTCTAAAGATTAGTAAAATATGCATTGATACTTTTAATTGAAATAATTGGTATATTTTAAATTTACAAGCGATAAACAATTTTTTCTTATAACTACCTTTTGATACACTTCAATAATTGAATCAGTAAACTAATGACAAGCTCAGAAAAAAAAAATAACATTGGCAAAATTGTTGGCAAACATAATTCATTATTTTTATTTTAACATATTATTATGAACATAAAAATCAATATTATTATATTAATTTATTATCGTACGATTTTTTTTACTTTACATTTTTTTCATCACAGTTACTTATCTTACTTTATCATAAATTTGAATTCTTTATTAGGTAGGTGGCTAAGGTAAAAATGGTAAATTGGTAAATGGTATTCGATAGTCGATATTAATACCTAATATTTAGGTAGGTACCTTTAACCTGAGTTAATTACAGATTTTTTAATAATCAAATACCATTCTTACCTTAGCCACCTAATTAAGTATTCAAATTTAGTAAGCAAAGTAACTGTAATCAATGATTATAATAATAATGATTACAACAATAGTACCTACTACTTATTTTATGATTGTATGATATTCTAAATTAACTATTAAAAGTACGAAATAAAATGTTGTGTTTGTAAATATCCAAAACTAAAAATGAGGGAAAGGGATGAAGTAAAACTCCTAAGTTCATATATTGCATGCGATACCATTATAGGGAATCTATGGTTAACATTTTAAGTTTATACCACTACGAAAAGAGCACCACAAAAGATTGCACTTTTTCATTGCACATAATAATGTCAACAATCGAATACTATTTACCAATTTACCATTACCTAATACTGAATTCAAATTTATGATATTGTAAGAAAAGTAACTGTGATGAAAAAAATGTAAAGTAAAAAAAATCGTACGATAATAAATTAATATAATAATATTGATTTTTATGTTCATAATAATATGTTAAAATAAAAATAATGAATTATGTTTGCCAACAATTTTGCCAATGTTATTTTTTTTTTTTCTGAGAGTGTCATTAGATTACTGATTCAACTATTGAAGCTTATCAAAAGGTAGTTATAAGAAAAAATTGTTTTTAGCGCTTGTAAATTAAACCTATACCAATTATTTCAATTAAACGTTTTAATATATATTTTACTAATTTTTGGATGACTATAGTTAATAAACTAGTGAACCAAAATTGATGATTTGATCTGACTACTAAAATGTTCAAAAAAAAAATCTTTACCAGAATCCATTAAAAATATAGTGGTTACTATTTCAAAAGAAAAAGTTGATTTTGCTATTGATACACCTGCGTGTGTTTAAAAAGTTTTTAATGTTGCCCCTTTAGGTCCAAGAAAAATGTTTATTTTTTCTTCTAATTCACTTATTAAACAAAAACTTTCAGATAAAAGCATATTTTGTGTTTCTAGTTTTTTAATTATTTCAACTAAAAATGATAAATGAGTTGATATAAATGTTAATTTATTCAAAATAGATCTATCTTTAATAATATCAAGTACTTTTTCAGCAGGGCTTGAAATCGAAATAAACATTTTCAATTTTAATTTCAATTTTGCTTATCGATATTAGTTTTTACTGATTTTAATTTAAAAATTAAATATTGATTTTGTGGTTTTATGATTTTTTTATTGAAGCAGAATATCGATTTAATTATAAAATGATTTTGATTTTAAATTTTTTTCTTTTTTTTCGATTTTACGTAAAATTTAATTTTTTTTATTTTACTTTCAGTTTAAAACTTAAATGTCTATTATTATTTTGATATTAGTGAAATATTTCAAGTTATGAATTATTACTATATTATAATATTATTCTTTATTACCTTTACATTTAAACCAATGTAAAATTTAGTTTAAATTTTAGACTCTGTTATTGATTAACTACCTATATCAGCTAAATTTCTGTCGCAGCTATTAAAATAACAATGCCCAAGCCCCAAGAGCGTTTAGCTATTGTTTAGACTTTTTAAATCACAAAATACTAAAAAGCCACCCAAGAGATAACATAATAAGCCAATAAATTGTCATACTTTTGGACATTTTCCAATTCTACCAAAGGAAATAACAATAAAGAATAAAGATATACAGTACGAACATCTCAATGTTTTATTTATTATTGCTATATAATACTAATATAAATCCAAAAAAATGTAAAACATACGTAAATCATATTTTTATTAAACTTTTTAATTAAAGCAATTACAGTTAGTTAAGCCACAGATAGTTAAACCAATTGCAAAACGAGGAAGCTTTCAATCATTAACTCTTGTTTAATATACTTTATTGGATTTAATATTTATTTCATACATTTTGTGTTTGAGCTTACAATCATTATAGCATCTAATAAATTGGCTGATAGGATGTACGTAGATCAGATAATATGAATTTTATTCCACTGAAACTCCGTTCAACTCTAACCTGAAAAAATAAATAAAAATAAGAAATTTCACAATAAAATACCAAGTATTATCAATAAAGTATATACCTGAGTAGCGGGTACAGCAATAACAACATTTGCTAGCTTATAAAGATCAGACTTTTCATGTTTGTGGGATTCCCAAAATGTAAGGGTATGTTTGTTTTATAATGTAGAAGCACAAATATTTTTAAAATTATGCAAGGTAATGAATAGGTATATCATTTGAGATATTTGTGTCACTGTGATTACTTGAAACAGATGATTGTGATGACAAAAACAATTCAAATCCATCATCAGTTGTTTCTGTAGTGTTATCAGGAGAATTAACACTAATATTGGCTAAAAAAAAATTATAGATCTTTTTATTTATACTTATTATTTAACACTAAAAGTTAAAATTGTTTTATCAATTGGTGTTAACTTGTAGCTGAATTATTGACATCATCAGTTTGACAAACATCATCTAGTATCTGAATCATACACTTCCATGTTTTAACTAAATGATTAGTTCCAGTATTTTTGTCAGTTCCATTTAACATGCGTTGATACCGTGGATCAAGGAAAATTGCTAAAGAAAAAGTTTAAAATATAATACCTACTAAATAGAGACTGATTATCCAGCAGAAAACAGCATTAAGGTGAATGTGCACTCGTGTGTACACATAATAATATAATGTTTTTCTTTCATGATATAATTGTTTAACATATAAACAAATATATAAGACATAATTACATCTATTTTTAAGCTTTTGTTAAGAATAAATAATGTTTTAGTCAACAGCAGCACCAATTTACCAGTCTTATAATTATTTTTTAACTGTACAATATAAGGTATTGTATATGGTTATGACAATTATTATATTTTGTCAAACATACCTGCCAAAAATACTGGATTCTTTAATAATAGAACTTCACGCTGTTTCATCGATTTAAAAATTTGTTATCTAAAATTGAACCATTAGACTGGAGACCATGGGATGCTTTAAGCCATACTCCATAGAAGTCACCGAGGTTGATGTCCTGATTTTGAAGAGCTAGAGTAGCTATTTAAACAGGCGTTAATGCATCAACCTATACACAATTAATATATCTATTGGTTACTAATATATTCAAAAACTGAAAACTTTTAATTACAATCAATATTAACTGTATACTAAGTAATATATTTATGACTTTTAAAGAAAAGCATAAGATAATATAAAACTTTAAAAGTTAAACATTTGGATAAAAAATTATACTTGATAACAATAAAAAAATTAAAAAGAAAACCACTGCATAAAGGTCGTCACACACATCATCGGTAGTGGTAAAAATCTTTTGTGACCAACTTCATTTTGCCTTTACCGCTCCAGCGGTAATTGCCACCGCTGCAGTGTGTGGGTACCTTCATTCATACCTAGACATTTTTGTCTCTTAAAAAGTTAAATTAGTATATTCTGACTAAATATAGTATCTCGGATAATTGTATGAAAAATAATATTCCTAGTATTCACAAGTTTGAATAAAAATAAATTCAAAAATTATATTTAAAATAACAATATAAGACTACAGTGAAATGTTGGCATTAATTTATTTCTATTTTCAAAAATTAGGAATAGTATAAAATAGTTTATAGTCTAAACTTGGAAAAAAAAAATGGACTATGCTCATATAATGTCTTAATACATTCTTATTTACATTCTTTTTCTCAAAAGTTTTACTTCTGCTAAGGTAAAAAAGTGTTTCCAATTGTTATAATAAAGTTACTTATCTATCTATAGTATAATATTAAATATATACTACTGTACAATAATAAAATTGATACATACTAATAAATTATAAGGTTTTTCATTTTTATTAAAAATAAATCTTACAATGCTTTGAATAGAGTCCCATTCACTTTTTTTTAATTTGAGTTTAGTATTAGTGCTAGGGTGCTTAGTGCTATATGATGGGTTTAGCAAAACTCGTTCAACTCCAATAATCTGAATAACATATTAAAGACAGAGTTACATCTTGTTTCGTTATCTATTATGGCATATTTGAGGTTTTTTCTTTTTAGCCAAGTGGCATACTTTGGAGTTCTTAATTTCTTCACCACCTGGTTTTGTAAAATAGGTAAATGAAGATCATAAAATAATAATCATAAGTATATAATATTATCAAACCAAAATGGACTTTATTATGTTAAACTTTTAAAATTATACCTTTCTCGCTTGAACTCTGCACTGGTTATTGGTGCATTTTTAAACCCATCCAGAATACATAGTTGCAAGGTATGCACCGCACATCCCACACATGAAGTTATGGATGAAGGACATAAGCCATTCAGCACATCGTCTTCAAAAGATTGAATAGCTATGGTAGCTTCACCTGTAAAACATGCATTTTATTTACTATAGAAGATAGGTACCTACCCAGTAATTTCATCAACATATTTTGTGTTATGTTTTATTGCTGTAGTGCTCTTGAGTGTTTAAGTGCTTGCAGTAATAATATGATAGCTACCTACTCTGTATTAAGTGACATTTTTTATACATAGGTAGGTACATACATAGGTACCTATATTTATTTTTTTTTACATAAGTTACCAACATCTGCCTCTTGAATATAAAGGTAGCTTTGTTTATTTAAAAATACAAAGCTCCTTTACTTTTAATATTAAATTAGTTTTGTTTGTCATGAAAATATTTAGATCTCACTTTATTTATTTAATAAATGTAATTTATAAATATATTTGATTTAAATTAATATTTTAAAATATTAAAAAAAAAATTATAATCTAAACAATTTATGTTAGTTATTTAAGTTTATGTAAATATGTAAAATGTAAATATAAATAACATTTATATTTCTTTAAATAATTTTAATAACTGATTAATTGTTGATATTTTTGTTAGGTTTATATAGGTACCTACATATTTGATATTTCAATTAAAAAAAATGTTCAATATAATATATTTTCATATTATTTTTTTAAACTTTGTAAACCTAAAACCACATTATTTTAATGAGTATACCTGTATTAAATAAATCGAGTTCATTCTCAACAGACCTGGGCAAGTTAGTAATTTTTTTCAACTAGTTGAAGTTAAGTTACTTTAATAAAAAACTAACTAAGTTAGAATACAAGTTAATTTCTGAAACTGTCCAAATTTCTAACTTAGTTAGTTAGAAGTTAGTTTTTTTATAGATTAAAAAACCTTTTTGTTGAAATGTAATTAATAAGTTATCTAACTTAAATCATTGATTAAAACTGAAAAATTTAATTAAACACCTAGTATATGTACTAATTAGGTAAGTAATAATTTCAATAAATAATATAATTGGAAATTACTTGGTATATCACTTATCAGTTATTAGAACATAAAGGGTGAATCAAAATTAAAAAAATATATAACCGAATGACGACTTAAAATATTAATATTAATTAATAATACATACGTCGCGACAGTAGATATTACTGATATTGTTATATTATAATATAGTTATTAAATCTTAAATGTAGGTAATACTGTAATAGTTAAATAGTAATATAGATAAACGTTAACCACCGATAACACTATACATCAAAAATTCAGCATCGTGTCTACGCTAATGTCTAATTGGTTTAGCCACCCTTATAGATTCTATTTATATCTAGTAGATATCATCATTCTACACACTACTCTGAAAAGCTGTGGGCATTTCCTGTGCGTGCATTATTGTAAATACTAATAATTAATAATATATATGAGCCAATAATCTATATACTATATAGGCATATAGCCATAATGTCATGATTGAGGAACAGCTTTTGGAATTTTGGAGTGAAAAAAAATTATAACTAGTTAGTTTTTTTTTCTAACGAGTTAGTTTAGACTATTTTACACATTAAAATCAACTAGTTAAGTTAGAAAGTTACTTAAAAAGTAACTTTCTAACTTAACTTTAACTTTCTAACTAGTTAGTGCCCAGCTTTGATTCTCAATGTCTTCATTAGATAATGGTGCTCCATCATGGTGGAGTTTTATTGGCTAGGTACTAGGAAACATCTAAATTGCAAATTATTAAATGTTGACATTATTCAATGTATTGATCAAGTGTTTGTATTACTCTCTTATAATAATATTAATATACTTCTAGGTTGTGTTTATTTCCCACCAAACTCCAAAATCGAATTATATAATAAGCATTGTGATATAATAGAAAAGTTTTTATTAAAAAACTCTATTAAAATTTTTTTAATTATTGGTGATTTTAATGTAAATGAATTTTCAGTCACTGATTATACTTTATTTAGAAATCCTATATCCACTACACTTGTTAATTTTTATATCGATTACTTAAATTGAAAGCAGGTTAATAACATCACAATGGTATTCTAGACTTGATATTTTCAAACTCTACTGTTGATTCTATGCATGTCTCTAATGGTTCATTAATACCTTTAATTGATTCATATCATCCACCTTTAGAATTTATCTCTCACTTTCCAATACCAAATATTTATTTCCAAACTATTTCTCCTGTAATTTTCAATTTTAATTCCTGCAATTTTAATGACATTCTTGCTTTTTTGTCTCATATAGATATTATGGATAATATAACTACCTTGAATTTAGAAAATAATGCTATATTGAAATTCCATGAAATAATTAATCATTCTTTTGATTTATTAGTTCCAATGATTACTTTAGATCTTAATACTGATCATAACGTTTCTTGGTCAAATTATAATTTAAGAAAATAATTAAATTAAAAAAATTAGCGCATAAAAAATATAAAATTTCAAATTCTTTATCTGATTATTCTATTTTTTCTAATTTACGCAAGGAATGTGAACAACTATCTAAACAACTTCAATTAAATTACATACTTAAGATTGAAAATAACATTAACATTAACATAAAATAATTTTGGAAATATATTCAATCTCTCAAATCAAATAAATCTAATATTCCAATGTCAATGTTTTTTTATAATACAACTGCTCATAATATAGAAGAAATCTCTCAATTATTTGCTAATCATTTCTCCTCTGTTTACTCTAAAAATAAATTGCCTGATGATATTCTTGAATCTATTAATGTTAATATGCATGATATAAATATTAACTCAATGTACATATCTGAGGATGAAATTGCTGATTATTTAATATCTATTGATGATAAATCATCTACTGGTCCCGATGGTATTCCACCGATTTTCCTAAAAAAATGCTTTTCAGTGTTGGTCAAGCCATTGCACTATTTATTTAATCTCTCTTTATCAACTGGTGTTTTTCCCACCTTTTGGAAAAAATCATTTGTTACACCTATACATAAATCTGGGAGTAAGAATGATATCTGTAATTATCGGCCAATCTCTAAACTTTCTGCTATACCTAAAGTATTTGAAGCTATTATTTCTAAAAAACTGTCCAGTATATTATTAAATTATATTAGTCCCGCTCAGCATGGTTTCTTAATGAAGCACTCGATTTTCACCAATTTACTATTATATCAAAATTTTCTAACTAATGCTTTAGATCAAGGTCTTCAAGTTGACACCATATACACTGATTTTCAGAAGGCTTTTGACAAAGTTGATCATATTTTACTTTATTATAAATTAAAATCATTTGGTATAGATGGAAACTTTCTTAAATGGCTATATTCGTACCTCACAAATAGAACTCAAGCCGTCAAAATCTCATTTCACTCATCACAAAATTTTCAGGTCTCTTCTGGTGTCCCTCAAGGTTCCTATTTAGGTCCTCTACTGTTTCTAATTTTCATTGATGATTTACCACATTATATATTAGATAACTCTAACATAGCACATATTTTATTATTTGCTGATGATGCTAAAATTTTTTGCAAGATAAATTCTGTAGCTGATCAAATAAATCTTCAATCAATATTAGATAAGTTTGTTATTTGGAGTAAAAAAAATTATTTACCATTAAATATTAATAAGTGTAATGTAATTTATTTTACCTGTAGAGCTAATCCTCTTTTGAATCAGTATATAACTAATGAGTGTCCCTTATCAAGAGTCAATTCAATCAAAGATTTGGGGATTCACTTTGATAGTGATCTTGGCTTCAAATTGAATCATAAATCAATCCTCAACAAATCATATAAGATGTTAGGTTTCTTAAATAGAAATACTAAAGAATTTAAAAATCCTAGATGCTTAAAATTACTTTATACTTCTTTAGTTAGATCTAACCTTGAATTTGGCTCACTTGTTTGGTCGCAAAATCTAACAACATTTTACTCTGAACTTGATAATGTTCAAAACAAGTTTCTCAAAAATATTTCATATAAACTAAATCTTCCTTTCTCCAGAGACTCAATTATACCAATTCAGGTATCATTGGATCTCGATAGTCTTTCTCTGAGACGGAATCTAACAGATATAATGTTTATTTTTGATATTATTAATGGTTTTGTTCTTTGTCCTGAATTATTAGCAATGATTGGTTTCCGAATTCCTTGTCTTCATACGCGCAATCTAGATTTATTTGTTATTCCACATTATAGAACTAATAGTGGAGCCTTCTCTTTTCTACCAATAGCTCTTAGGTTAGCCAATTTAATCTCCCACCATCTTGATTTTTTTAATTCTACTCGTGTAAATTTTAAACTAAATACTGTATTGCTTCTAAAAAAACCACATTTTATCTAATTATTATTATTACTTAATATTTTTACTTGTCGTATACATTTATTCTTAGTCATTTATTTTTAATTTTAAAACATTATTTAAATTTTTGTATTTTTATTACCTACTTAATTTATATGTATTTTGATTGTTGTCATATTGTTATATTATATACTTTGTAAAGGGCTATTGCCCGTTGAATATATTCAATAAATAAATAAATAAATCATTAAGCCCATTAAGGTACTCATCATCACTGTCTATCGGGTTATCATTATCAACATCTTCATTGTTGATTTATATAGATGTTGATTGAGTATTTTTATTAACCTCATCACATATTCACATGTATCGATAAAATCATTTCCAATATCATTGACAGTAATTTTATTATTCTAGCCATCCTTATCATATTTGCAGCGTTGTCACAAGTTATTGTGTAAATTTGTTCTCGGGTAATTTCATACTTCACAAGTACATCAAGAAGCTATAAAAAAAAGCAATACAAATTAAAGTTTAATATAATATTACCTATATTATTAAATTATTGTAGGTAGTTCAAAAACTACCTATTTTAAACTACTAATTTAATAAATATAATTTTATTTTTACTGATGTTTTTAAATTTACTGCTGTATGCTTGTCAAATAATTCTACCATTGCTAATGTTTTCAAATTAATTTCACCGTTTTTAATATATTGAATATTTATACCCAATATTGAACGGTTATGACTAAACACCGGATTCCCGTGCAATTGCATCTTTTTATGGCGTGTTCTAAATTCAATAGAAACAAGCTACAGATCCAAATCAAGAGATGTAGATTAATTTAAAGAAAGTTTTATGTTGCACAAAACTGCACGTTTTTGGGTTTTTGCACAAAATTGCACGTTTCGGTTTTTTTTTCATAAAAGTGTACTTTTGTATTATTTATGTCGGTGCTATCACCCTGTATATATATATAACGATATAATTCGACGTAGGTAGTTAAGATAATGACTAAGGTACTACGATAGTCGATAGATTATCGATTACATATAAGTACAGTATACACATACAGTACTAGTTACAGTCTATCCGCAGCCGTTGTAGTCAACTCATGTTTTATACAACAATTTTATAGTTCAATAGTTGATACTTATTACTTTATATTATTATTTAATTTAAAATTCCGAAAATTAGTAGTGGTCATTGTTCTAAAATAAAATGTTAAAATGTTGGATTGAAAAATATCCAGAATTGAAAACAGAAGGCAAAATTATATTTTGCACGTTGTGCAATAAGGCTATTGGTTGTGTACGTAAATCACAAGGAAATGTACATGATTACAAATTTTAATCAAATATTGTAAAGTCAGTTATATACATATTGTCAGTTTATTATTATTTTATTAATAAATAGTAATAAATATAATGAGTAATAAATAATAATATTAAAAAAATGTATTAAAATTAAAATTTGAAGTACTTATAATGAACATTTTGTTTTTGCACGTTTTTGCACATTTTAACATTTTAATTGCACATTTTTTAGATTTTAGCTGCACAAAAATCCGGTCTTTTGTTATGACGTTTAATTGCGTCGATCTTTAAACTTATTAGTTACTTTTTAATATCATTTTTAATACATGCAATAATCACATTTGATGCATTCAAAATGTGATTTTTAATATTTTGAGAGTTAATGGTAAATCCTAAAATTTTGAACACAATGTTATTATAAACCTTGTTAATTTATTATAAGTAGGTATTGATTAAGTACAAACTAATGGTGCACTGCTGTACACTGAAACGCAGCACTATGGACTTATATTTGGATTTTGCATACCTAGGTTCATAATATATACCTACATATATATATATTATTATTATATACCTAATGCAAGCAAATATCAGATATTCAGATATAATGTGCTCTATGTATCAGTGTACAGCCAATGTGATAGTTAGTTATTTAAATATTTTGTTTAAGCTAATTTATTTACCTCCACCAATTGCTTCTGTTAAAGGACGCAGCATTTATAAAATGTTCAATTTTTATAGCTAAGGATAGAAAACTTACAACAAGGTTCCACGTAAGTAGGTTATTCTGCAACCAAAAAATCTCTTGAACATAAAAACACATACACATTTCTTTTTATAGTTTTTATGTTAAAATTTAGAGGAAATAACATATTATATCAATTACATTATATCATTGAATTCGAATTTAATACCATCCATTATACCGTGACTCACTTGTAACGTACTGTACAGCAGGGCGACATCCACTTACCGAACTTTTTTTTCGTTTAATATATAGGTACCAAAAACACTACTTTATACATAATATTTAGTATTTTTCAGGGTAAATTGCGTTTAAAGAAACATAATTTTATATTTACTTACTATATGGTATTTCTACTTATACAACGGAACTAGTTCAGAAAAACCAGGACGTTTTAATTGGAACATCTTACATCAGACTTCGAACTCGACAAAAGTTAGAAGTATTTTTACACTTTTTGCTTCAAATTTGTCAATTGTGAAAATAATAATTCTAAAAAAATACATAACATTTAGAACTTAGACCCGGAGTGATGGTTAATCGATTACTACTGGGACAATTAAAATCGAATATTATACAACTCTCGATAATCGAGGTTCGATTTGTTATACAAACCGCGCCCGTAGCTGTTGAACTGTAAGTCTCCGTAAATTTTTTCATACACTTTTTAATTCAGCATACCCACTCAACTCGTATTTAAAAAAAAAAGGGTGTCTGGTAAGTACACGTATCCTGGTCTTCAAACCTAATTTTAGAATTATCACAGACATCAATAACATTTACACCATGTGTAAGTCTTAAATCTAATGTCTATGATGGGTTGGTTGTTGGTATATTAGACTATTATAAGTATAATCATATACATTACAGTGTTTACTGGGTAGTTTATATACTTGCTCTTAAAAGTAAGTACCTACCTACTTCATTAGGTATACCAAAATATAATATTATTATAGGCATTTTTAAGTATTGATGTGTTTTTAATAGTATTAAATAAATTTATATAAACACCAGAAAACAAATATTACCTACCTACCTACCTACCTAGATAATAAGTATAGGCTTATTAGGTACATACTTACATAATTACCTAGGTATTTAGTTTATACTTTATAGGTACATCAAATCCTCCCAGGACTCAGGCTATTAAATATTGTGTATACCTATAGGTAGGTACGTATTTATTATTGAATCTTCAATAATACTACTTGAACGTTTCGGTGGTCATCATAACTGCATACTTACCGTTTATAACCGCACATTTTACAACGTTCAATACCGCACTCATTTATTCTATTGTTAAAAAGGGAAATTTGAAAGGTCGACAGTTTAAAACCGGACACATTTGATTGACAGAATTCATAAAATGTCGAACTTTTATATCTAAGGATTGAAAATTTAAAACAAGATTCCACGTTAGAAGTTAATTCTGTTACCAAAAAATCTAAAAACTACATTAGCACGGTTTATTTTTATAATCCTTTAAGTTCAAATTTGGACGAAATTACATAATAAAAAACCTAGAATAACTATCTTAGTGATTTTGTACTTGAAACTTCTAAAGTACACTATTATATATCTATGATAGTATCAGGGTTTGTTATTGATGTATAACGTGTTATAAGTAGGTACCTACGTAATGAATATTGTGATATGATTAATTTGGAATTTATTATAGGTACCTATTGGCTATTAGGTCATTTTTTTTAATACCATAGATAAGTATATAATATGTCTTCAGTGCCATGCCTAGCAAAATCAGCGCCCGGTGCGAAGTATCATTTCTAGCGCCCCCACGGCCCACCCCCTCTACCAAATATTTTTATAGTTATAAAAAAACTAGGTACATAACATTAGGGGAGAGCCGGATCAGATTCGTCAGATTTACCTTATTTTTCACATTAAACATTTTTGTTGACATGTACTATGTACAAACACTTCTAAAGATGATATTTAAACAGGGAGAGAGCCTTTTTTGAATATATTTTGTGTATAATATTGACAAATGGGGTAGTATTAATAATTATTATACATTTTACTTGAACTCAGAAATCTGTATACATAATATAATAGTTATAACTTATAATTACTATTAATAAAAGTATAAACATGTTTTTAAAATAAGTGATAATGTTTGGTAAAAAGTTCAAACAGTATTTAAGTTAATATGTTAATCAAAATAAAAATTCGCATCATTGAGTTAATTATTCTTCTTTAGGTTACAAGTATTACAAATGTATAATATCTTAATTCTTAATATTATATATATTACTAAACTTTTGAATGGATTTATAGTAAATAGTCTTAAAAAAATACTAAAGGTAATAATTTAGTTTTTAAAATATAATAAGTACTTGACTTGCTTTTCATAAACTTATTTTTCGAGATTTGATAGATGCGAAGTTTTCAATAACATCATCAATATTGATATTTTGTGTCATTTTATTTTCTATTGACATTATAGCAATATGCCAATATTCGATAATCTTTCTTGAGTCATGGTTGAACGGAGATATGTTTTGATTCATTTAAGTTTACTGAATGATCTTTCCCCAGATGCAACTGTAGTTACAGGAAATGTAAAGTAATAGTCGGTAAGTTATAACTAAATTTGGATACACTGAGCTTAGTTCATATGTTTTTATGTCATTTAATATGTCTAAATAAGTTTTTATAGTTATTATTAATTTTTAAATTAGTTATAATTGCTTCTTCTTGATACTTAAAAATTCATTTTCATTCAGTAATTCACTATTCAGGTCTGAACTATATTTTAAAACTAGATCAGCAGCTTGTTTTTAAGATCTTCAATTGACCACGAATTAAGATGGAACCCAGGAAGAAATTAGGAATGTTCTACAATGTTTCAAAATGCCAAAATATTTTTGAAATTAAGTATCTATATAGTTATTGGTTGTACTCCAATTTAAGTTTCAACTTTTCTGATCCGTTATTTCCCATTTCTAACAAAGGATTTTTGAAGCCCATCACAATTTTTTATGCATGAGAAATAGAAATATTTGATTTTTGCAAGGTAATATTAACTTTATAAACTTAAAGCGACGTCGTTATTTCGGATAAAAAATAAATACCAACACTAAAAATATACAAAAATAAAAACACTATATTTGTCGACCGGTAGGTGATCAAGGGAATGTTAATTATGTCGAGATAGTGGTGTTCGACGTGAAAAAAATTTGAATTAATAATATGGAGAATTTTCAGTAATATTACTTAGATTATACACAATGCTTTTGGCGCCCGGTGCACACGCACCTCTCGCACCCCCTTAGGCACAGCCCTGTATGTCTTATACCTAAACTGACATATATCGTCTCCACTCAGAATCGTTTTTCTTATACAATGATATTATATCATTCAATTCAAATTTAATACTGTCCATTAGACAGTGACCCACTTGTAACCTACTGTACAGCAGAGCACATTTTTTTTAATAATTAATAAAAGAAAATTTAGTAGAGTTAATTTAAAATTTCAATATTTTTTTTTTTTTTTTTTTCTATAAATGGCAATACAATTTTATTTGTTTTGCCAAAAATCTTCAAAATTTAATACTAGGCATCTGATATATTGATACTATATCAAGTTAAAAATATTAAAAATACTTAGGCACAATTATTTTTATGATCATTTAAAGTTCGAGTTTGACAACATTTATTGAATTTAAGATTTAAAAACGATTTTATAGTTAAAA